TTAAATTCACCTAAAAACCAGGCTTTATCTCCTCAACGATGAGGTATAACGGGCATTTTTGGCTTTCTGACTCCTCAGAAAATATCATTGTTCCTCATGAAAAATCTTTCCCCATGCCTTCATAATTATTTTATGCAATCCATGCACAGTTTATTAATTTAATTTAGCTAAAATGAGAAACTTAAGATCGTTGTTAACATCCCTTAAACTCACCCAGTAATGCTGACAGTCCGTTGTTTCCCTCACGAAAGAGCTTAACTTCATTTCAATGTTGCCAAATTTCCCAACGCAAAATTCGTATTAATTAGGGGAATCTTGGGCATTTCTAACTGAAAGTTTTACTGATTATTCCTCAGATTTCATGTCAAAATCAGAAAATTTTTCGATTCAAATTGCATAGGTACAACTTTGTAAAATTAATTAATTGTCGAGTCAATTTGGCAACCTTGGAATGGAGTTTATTTACTTTGTGCGGTAGACGACGAATTGAGGTACGCAGCACGCAAACATACTGCAAAATATACTAATAGTAGGTATATAAGAACATACTAAGGTACTGATCACAACAAAGAAAGCTGTTCTCAAAGCTTTTAATTTACTTATTTGTACCGAGTTTATCAGAGAGGAACCATCCCACATTTTCGAAAAAATTGAATTAAGAATGTTTTTGAGTTCTACTAGCCGTATATTTTCTCCTGCCAAAAACCGAAAGTCGAAAAACAGACATTAGTTCGTGGAAAGAGGGGTTCAAGTTTATTTTCTTCATTGAGCCTTATGCAGGAATAAAACTTCAAACCTCTTTTTCTCAGTTTCAGCTGCATGTAGGTTAGTTCCTATCAGATGAATTCAGTCCTTTTATGATAGTCCAAACAAAAATAAATTTAACATCACATCAACAGAAAATTAGGTCAGGTAAAGAACCAAAGTACAATCAATCCTAATTATCATGCAATAAAGAAAAACTACCTCACAGAAAAGTGTTAGGTTACTTACACTTGTAGTATTAGTGTTGATGAGCAATGCTGTCTTTAACGTAATGACCAAACTAATGAAAACAATGTTGTCAGGTCTCTTCATTGTTGGTTAGGTGAGTAAAGCATTCATCAATACGGATTCGTCATAGAACGCATGTATGCTTGTATGCTTGCAAGTATGCTTGTCAATTAAGAAAATAGGTCAATAGAGCAATTTAAACTGTAGATGGCTCCCAAAAATTAAGCTCACCAGCAATATGGCTCTTAAAATTTTGGAATGAAATTAGAAATCGGTTGTAAATTTATCCAATGGTGCGTTCAACTACCATGAACGAAGTGACTAAAGTTATGGTTCTAGCCAAATTCCTTGTCCTACAAATGAAAGGAGACAAATGATCTGTCATCTTAATTGGTGCTTTTAATCTAAACACTTTCAGACCTTAAACTTTGCATAACTGAAATATGAAGAAAAATCTTAAAATTCTATTGATTTAGGGCATGATTTACTATGTAAGTCTCCCTTGTCCAAATTTGTCTTTCAGCATAAACATCTTGTACTCTCTCCGCATTCATCCCTTCAGACCCACTGTCTTGTGTAACCTTATTGCTGCCTTGTAATTAGAAAAGTAAAAACCTTTTTGATGTGCTCCTCGATCAGATGCTCAAATAATTTAACCCATGTCAATGTGATGGTTTCAGTCTAAATTTAATCAATATCTATTTAATCAACATCAATCGGACCTAAACCCAAGTTAAAATTGTTTAATGGAAAACCAAACAGCATGTTGGCTGGAAACTCTCTGTATATGTTTTTGATTTTAATTGCTGCACATCTCAATTTTCAGTCAAAATGTTAAATATTTTTCTATTGGAAGAAAAACAGGAGAGGAAATTAGACACCATCCTATGCAGTGGCGACTCGAGAATGTTGGCAACACTACTGTTCATCCATTTGAATACATGTAAAACGATCGATTCTCCGTGAAGCAGCTTGTCTCATCTAAAATCGATTTTTTAATGGAATTGGAGGAAAAGCAAAGTTGTCAACTTGCAAAATTGTCACTTAATCCGCCCCAGTTACTCAAATCACAATCCGTTACAGAACTCATAATTCGATTGTTTTCCAAAAGCAAAGTCTGTTGAATGACTAAAAATGCTGGTTATACTTTAAGGAGACTTTCAAGGAATGGGAAATATCATTCAAAATGATTGTTGCCATTTTTCTCTCGGCATATCTTTAATTTCTCTCCATACCGGGCTTCAAAGATTCTTGCCCCAATAGGGTTGTCCATTTTGGAAATTTCCGAAAATTTATAGCCCTCGCCTTAATAGCCTTTGCTCCAGTTCATCAAAAGCTTGCTTTTTTTTAAGATTTTAAGTCAAGTTAAAGCATTCGCAGAGGTCAATCAGCATTAAAGTCTGAACCTTAAATTGCAGCATTTAAACTGTAGGAGTATCAAGTAATGTAGATCTAATTCATCTTGGGTGTGTAAAATGCAAATATCGATGCTGAAACTACCGAACCACATATCTCGGCTGCGGTGTTTAAACTCTCTGCTTTTCTGTTACTTTTTTTAAGGAGAACAAACTAACGTAATTCCTTGAAGTTTTCACAGAATTTTCTTCTCTCGGAGAAGATAAATCATGAAACTTTTTAAGAATTACATGTCAAGTAACTTTCCATTTATAAATTAAATTATAGCAGGAAGTCTCCAACGTTGCAAACCGAGATATGTATATGTAATTTGAGAGTTCCCCATAGGCACGCAGTATAATCTTGCTTTTTATTTAATAAAGCTCCCAAGACCGAGTTAGGACTGAAAATGTCGCGCTTTGGGTTGGAGTGTGGTATGTGTAGTAATGAAGGGAAAAAATATAAGATTTTACAATATGATCCTGAAAACGTATTTCATCTGCATAGCCTGTTTTTCATGCTTTCAAACTTATATATCTTTTCCCGGTTGTGACTGATGTGCCATATCTAATAGAATAAAATTAATTTTAATCTACTGGTAATTGGGTGCCAGTTACGCAAGAGCAAATAGAAAATTCTATTATCAGCAATTTTAGCAAAATTCCTCTATTATCTAATCGAAAAGTATGTTTTACTTTCAACTTGTAACTTAGGTTTTAGATGTAATTGCATGGAGACTGACTTTGACTAATGTCAAACAACCATAGAAACCAAGGAAGGAAGTTTATCTTTCTTATTTAACACATGACCTAGTATGTTACTATAGGGAAGTGTATATCACAAACCATTGCGTTCACTTTACTATAGGGAAGCGTATATCACAAACCATTGCGTTCACTTACATGTAGATTTCACAGCGCCTCTTTCAAAATCTGTGTGCAAGTTAGTCTAATGGTACATAATATACGTTTCTTGAACTATTGTTTGTGCGGGTCTCAGAAAATTTCATTAATGTAACTATCAGTTTACTTAATCTAAGGTGGCAAAAATAGTTTTCAAGCTTTCACTTACTACAAAAGTAGGCTTAATACGTTCTATACCAAGAAGTTTTAATGTATTTGTTGTTGTAGTACCAAAAAAGCGCACCAACTATTGTGAGTTCTGAGTTTGCCAGTAGTCACAGTTCATTATTTGCTCTTTTCCGTTCATATCAATATCTGACGTCACTTTGCTGCTGTGAGCCCTATGAACCCAACGTAGTATTTTAATTTCACACAACAATGAAAACGCATTAAAATATAAAACAAATGGGTTTACAAGGCTAAGGAAATTGAAAACAAATCAGGACGTTTCGGGCCAAGTACATGCCCATTCTCAACTGAAACAAAAGCTAACTAATGTAATTGGCCTGAAACGTCCTGGTTTGTTTTCGATTTCCTTAGCTTCGTAAACCCATTTGTTTTGTATTTTAATGTGTTTTTATTGTTTACCTGTAATATAATACGCAATTTTTACAGCTCAGTTTTTTGCGCTTATTGTCAGATACCGTCATGAACTTTTTTTCCTACTAAGGTGTTTCTGAGGTGCTAAATGAGGTTCACAAGACCGACACTTGGTTTCTGCATACAAACGTTCATATCACACCATTAGGACTAAGCAGTGAATTTTGATATGGCCATATGCTGAAACCAACTTGGCATTCTGCAAGCAAACCTTGGGCTAAAAGTTTTGTTACCCTGGTTTTAAAGTTTTTTCTGATGTTCGCTAAAATATGCCATTTTGTTCTATGCTTGCTTGGCATGAACAGAACAAATACATGACAAGTTTGCAGTCAATGTATTAAACACAGATATCAATTAAAATATATATCTCAACTTGTACTTCTGAGAAAGGATAATTCAGAATCACACTCCGCAGGCAGATGTGCCCTTCCCATGCTGATCAGATATTTGTGCTTGATACTGAGTGTGCATGAATAGAGTCTTGCTTTAAGTATTATATTCGGTCTATAAGTAATTTATTGAAAGTGTGCAGCTATAAAGACACCTGTAATAGCTTTAACCTCTTTTTAACTATTGGACTGTCGGCACCTTACTTATACCGCTTTAAACTCTTAGCAGAATCAGTCAGTCGTTTTTTTTGCTTCTATAGGGTTTTTTCTTCGTTTAAATAGGATTTGATTTCCTGTTGATTTAATTTCCATATCTAATGTGCTCAAAAATGACTATCTCATATTCCATGCAATCTCATATTGATATCCCAACATTTCAATGGGCAAGGATCTATTTTGTTTAGTTCGGTTACCTCAATTTTTCAATTCCTTAAAATGAGAATCATGTTAGATATACTCTCTGATGTTTTATGAAGCTCTCTCCCTTTTGAAAAAAGTTCCTGGAAATGTATTTATCACCCATGATTTTTCTTTTTTGTCCAGTCTGACTTCAAACTTTCCCAATTAAATCCTTTTTTGGCTCCACTGGCATGCTCAATCTTTCCTCTTTCAGCTTAAACCTTCATGTTTCTTCCTTAGCACATCTTCGTAGCTTATTCTTCAAAAAAATCCACAGGTTTCAAGATTATGTGGCACTAATAGCTTTTGTCCATTATTTCAGGTTAATACATGTTCCTCGGACGCGAATATCAATAACCACTCGGAAAATTTGGAATTAAATGTTTGTTCGGGTGAGACAGGAACGGGAAATAGCAGTAACAATCCTCATACTGCGGAGAACAAGCATTACCCCACTAATAAAATTATTGTAAGTGGGCCTGGTTTATCGGATACTTGCGTGAAAAATCCAATCTTATAGATTATTCTATTCTTTCTCTACTGAATGGTAGCTTCAGTACCACAATGTTTTTTTTCTTACCTCTCTCGCGTTGGTCAGTTGAAAGATAATAGTTCTGTTGCACACAATCTCTCTCTCCCTTTCTATTTTTTTATAATAGAAAATTCATTTAGTGTTTTTTTTAACTTCCTGGAACTACCAAAGATCACTGAAAGAAGAACCGTAGATTAAGGGTATTACTCATTCGTCTTTTTTTTTTCAATTCGATAATGATCGATTTTTTTCTTATTTTTCTTCTCGGTTTTTTTTTGGGAGGATCTAAATATTGGTTCATCGGGAGCAAAAGCATCAGATAAGGAGGAAAGGTCAGTTTGGAACTCTTTGCCTCTCTGCAGCCTGATTGTTGAAATCAATGTCGGCACAACAAGAATCGAAAACCGATATTACTAGGCACAGATAGGACTATGTTTTGTCTTATCTTTCGGACATAGACAGTTACAGTTTCAACAATCAGGCTGCTAAAGTTTTTAGGGATTATCAGCTCCCAACACATTGAAGCATCAAAAAAGAAAACTTGACAACATATGAAAATTACCTTCCTATCACGGTTTGTTTTAGAGGGAGGTAAATGAAATTGTGTTGCCCACTCAAAATTCCTTCAGGATCTTGAAGTAGGATGCATACACAGTCATTTAAGCCTAAAATGAAAATATTCTGTCGAGCTCTTCGAAAATAAAATAGATTTTTGTGTTTTTGGCGCTAAAATGGCCTTCAAAGACGATCGATGATTCAATTCCGATGGGTTGTGCATATGTAAAATGGTACATGTGTGATGGACTCTACGTATTTTTGGACCAGGAATCGATTGAGCAGGGTCCTGAATCGGTCCGAAG